GATACTCCCACCCCCGTGATTGTCACAGGACAACCTATTTAGTTTTCTTTTATAGCGATGGACAATGGAGGCATCTTTGATCTCCTGGAGGATAACCTCCTTTTGCCATATAACCCAGAAGATTTCAGTCAGCCTTTGGATGAACAATGCACCCCCTGCCTTGTAGATCTCTGCTGGAATGGAATTAGCACCCAGCACTTTGCCACATGAGAAGAACCTAATGGCATTTAAAACCTCTACTTCAGTTGAAAGTTCAGCTAGAGAGTGATTGACTTCAACCTGAATACCTCAGTCAATAACTTCAGCAGTGGTTGATGATGGTCTGTTGAGAACACTATGGAAGTATTCAGCCCATCTCTCCAGGATCATATCCCTATCATTGATCAGTGTGGCTCCTTCAGCACTAAGTAGTTGAGATGCACCATAGGTCTTTGGCCCATAAATAACCTTCAGGGTATCACAGAAGTGCTTGGGTTGTTAGTATAAGCATAAAACTGCCTTCTTACTGAGCCAAGAATCTTGCATCTTTCTAAGCTTAATTTGCACTTTACTTTTGATGGAGTTAAACCCTGCTTTCTTATAGATAGATGAATTATCCTGCTGGTAAACTCTGTGGAGTTCTTGTTTTTCATTTAGTAGCTTCTGAATTTCCCCATCATTTTCATCAAGACAATATTGATGTTTGCGAGTGTTCTGGCCTAGATGAGTAAATGTGGTTCTATAACCAAATCTCTGAAAACTGTCCATTCCTTTTCTGTTCCACTATTGTAGACCTGCATTGGCTCAGCTTTTCCTTCAGGTCAGCAACAAATTGTTGAGCACAGAGAAGCATTCCCATCTGTCAACTTTAAATCTTCTGTCTTGCCGTGGGACTGGTGCTTTTGTCGAATGTGAATATTTACTTTGGGAAAGATAAGTCTATATTGGTCCAGCACTCTGCTCCACACATTGCCTTTGTCACTCTCATATCCTGTCTGTCTCTTCTTCTTACAATTACACAGTTCATTAAATGCCAATGTTTGCTGTGAGGGTGGATCAAAAAGTTTTATTGCATTTAGGTAAACAGAAAACAATGTTGGTGATGAGAAGGTCATGAAATACACAAGTCTTCAGTAGTGACTGTTGCTGTTGCTCTTTTGGACTCCATTCCTCCCAAAGAATCCCTGCCATGTTTGATAGTCTATGCCTACTCTAGCATTAAAGTCACCCAGAATTTCAAGATTGTTCTCTTTCAGCAAATTGATGATGATGGTCTCCAAGGCTTCATAAAATTTTTCTTTGACCTCATCAAGGTTTGTCATGGTGGGAGCATATGCACTGATGATGGTATGGCACTTTCCTGCAAGTGGCAATCACATTGTCACAAACCTGTTGTTCGTTCTTTTTGGGTGGTATACAAATTTGTTGACTAGATTAGATTTGATTGCAAAACCTATGCCAGCTTCTTGTAATCCCTGCATTATAACCACTCCAAAAAAACATGTATCTAGCTCCAAGTTTGGTAAGCTGGCCTTCATTAACCAGCCTTGTTGCGCTCAGGGCTGCTATTTGGATGCAATACCTGCTGAATTTTCTCAACACAAGAGCTGTTCATCTTTCACATCTACTGAATGTTGTGTTGTCCATAAGTATGCAAATATTCCATGTACCAATGATGAGTGGAATCATTTTCACAAAAGTTTTTGTATTTTTTTTTTTTGGTGAGTTTCAACCAAAGGGTAGGGTCTTTGCCTGTTGCAGTAAGCAGGCCAGGGTTAGGTTAAGTGAACCAGACAATTTTTAGGGCACCTTTTCTAGCTCTTTCCTCATGCCAGAAGGTGAGTGGTGCAGTCCTTAAAAAAGGCTGCTCAGAGACCCTGCCAAATTCCACTGCTGCTTCAGTTTAATGAGATGACCCTATGGCCTGGGCCACCTGTGTGCAGGGTTGTGACTACAGCTCCCAGAGTATATACACCTTCTGTTTTGTGATTTGCCCATTGCCATAGGACTTTGAGAATGAAATAATAACATAGTAAAATGTAAAATGGTAAAATGGTATGGTGTGATGTTTTCTGACTCGAGTGTGAATTGGATTTAAATGAGGCAGGATTGTGTGAAGACATCAGCTTCAATCTCTCTCTTCCAGTCATCAAGTCTAGGGGCAAGACAAAAGTCAAGAGGACTGGAGATGGCCCAAAATGCAGTAGATGACTTTGATGTCTTCAATGTCTAACCAAGTTCTAAGTGCTCCACAGCAACTACTTCAGCTGCTTTCATGGCCATTGGAACAAATTGTTCTCATCTGCCCATTCCACCAGGGGAAGTCTTCACATGCTTGGGTTAAACACCCCCTTAGCTTATCAATAGGTTTGAGCCCTGTCAGTTACCCTCAACCTCAACCTATCTGCCAAGACAGTTTTACCAGGGTGTGGCTGTTGTACATGCTACAGCTTCTTAGAGCCACAGATGAGAGCTGAGTGGCAGGGGGCCACCAAAGGTAGAAAGCAACCTTGAAAAAAGGGCTCAGCAGCCCTCACACAGAGGTACCAGTCTTCCCTAAACACCCCTTATACCCTGTTGAACTACTAAACCAGCTCTATATAATATTCCGCATTTTTCCATATTTTCTATTGAAACCATTAATTTCAAAACCTTTAAACACTATGTTATATTATATAATTGAAATGAATGCAGTTTATCTTACCATCAGTATCAGATTTCCCGCTAATCTTTGAGCCACTTGCTATGGCCAAAACATACATCACCTGGAAGACAACCTGGTGATAAGACTCTCCCCAATTTACTGAGGCTGGTTCTTCAGATAACGTCCGTCTTTAAGCTAAGCCCACGCTAGAAGTCTCTCGAGCTTTGTGCATTGAGCATAAATATGAAAAATGTATAAAATAGGGCTAAACAGAGTGAAGCAGGGTTGTGTGCTCACTCCCATTCATGATGTTTTCCATGATGTTGTCAGATGCCTTCAACGAGGATGAAAACAGCACCGAAATAAGTGAACTGGACAACGCTGTAAACTATATAACTTGAAAAGGCTACAAGCCAAGACCAAAGTGGAAGTAAAATTGGTGCACAACTTTTTGTTTGTAGATGATTGTACACTCAATGCTCAGTGCAGCCTCTGAAGCTGAGATACATCAGAGTATGGATCAATTTTCTGCTGCTTGTGCTAATTTGGCCTAACATTCAACACCAGGAAAACAGAGGTCCTCTACCAGCCAGCACTGCACCATCCATAGGTGTAACCATTGGTCACAGTAAACAGAGAAAATTTGAATGCTATGGATAAGTTCACTTATCTTGGCAACTAATCCTGCCTGGAGTCAGGAAGATTCATCTTCCTGAGTTCAGATCTGGCCTCAATCTGTGTGACCTTGGGCAAGTCACTTAAGCCTGTTTACCTCAGTTTCCTCATCTGTAAAATGAGCTGGAGAAAGAAATGGCAAGCCACTCCAGTATCTTTGCCAAGAAAACCATTAAGTGGGGTCATGAAGAGACAGACACAACTGAACAAAAGCAGCTGGCCTGGCCTGGCAGACAGCATTTTCCAAACTCATTTCATCACTTAACACTTCAGGTTTTGAAATATACTGACAAAACCCACAATACTGGGATAAAGTGGGGGTGGGGTTGGAGAAATTTTTACATAAGTTCTAGAAAATTAAGCCCATTTTCATAATGAAAAATGCCACACACATATTTGATACATAATTTCTTATTTAATATTTTAGGGACCAAAAGAGTATTCACATTTTTTTTTCTCATAACAGATATTCGTATCACATGAAACACCAGAGTTGTACAGAAAACCTTTTGAGAAACACTGGCACAGTGGAAAGAGCCCTATACTGAGTCAGAAAACCAAAACTATCTTGGTTTCCAACTTGGTGTCTCAGCTGTGTCCAGCTGGGACAAAGCACTTCATCTTTTCAACATCACTTTCCTCACCTGTAAAATAGGTATACTAATGATACCTGCCTCACTCATAGGTTTGTTGCAACCATGAGATCATAGAATCATAGGCTTAGTGCTGAAAAGCACCTCAAGAGGGCATCTCTTTCAAACCACTCATTTTGCAGATGAAATTTAGGCCTGAGGAGGTTGTGACTTTGAAGGCCGAAGGTAACAGAGAGGATGACAGAAGGATTCAAATCAGGTTCCACCCCTTCCTTTTACAAATGAGGAAAGTAAGGTTTAGAGGGATTTATCCAAGGTCACATAGTAAGTAAGTAAATATCACTCAGAAGAATCCCCATCTTCTGACTCTAAATCTAGGAATCTCAAAAATCTAATTTATTTCATGATCCAGTAGCCACAGAGGTGCTACCAGGGCGGGGGGAAGGGAGGCGATGGAGAGATGTAGCTTCGGGAGTGGTGAGGGGCGGCATCACTGTCATGAGGTAGGCAAGACCCGCACCCACCGTTTCCCCCTGAAAAAGATAACCCCTATCCCATGCTCCACGACCCCTCTCTTCATGAGAGTGCCCGGAGACCCGGGATATTCCGTGAGCCTCGGCACCAGCACACATCTAAGACAGCCCCACCCCACGTGCGGTCATTGAGAATGCAAGGCCACGGATTAGGGAGGAGAGCGGGTTTAGGCGCGGTCACGAGACCACAAACACGCGGCCTGAAGATGGGAGTCAGCTGAGGCCAAGCCTCCCGGTCCCCCGCAGCCTCGGCTCTGGGGAGCGAGAAGCTCCTGATTTCTGGCGGAGGAGCTCGGGCCCCTCCCTCCCATCGCAGCCCGGCTGAACACTCCCCAGCCTCGGGCAAGGGCAAGTCCAAGGGGAAGCTGCCTAGCCAATGGCTGAGCCACGAACGCGAGCTCGAGCTCGGCGCCTGCGCCCAGCGCCCTGCGCGCCCCGCCCCCAGCCCCTCCCCCCACCCCACTTCCAACTCCGCGGGGCCCGGGTGTGCAACCCCTCCCCTTACCCGAACCCGAAGGGCGCCTGCGTTCTGGGACCGAACGCACGGTGTCCCCTCCCTTCTCGGGTCTGGGCCTGGGCCCGCGGGCTAGAGCCTTGGTCTCTAGGGAGTCACAGTAGCAGTCCTCCTGACCTGCCTTTATTCGGGAGTCTTTAAAAAAAAAAAAAAGCCCCAGAGACTCTTGGCGCTCACCCCATGACCCGGTGTCAGGTTTTCGAGAGCCTCATGAATAAGAAGAAGACAGAGAATAATTTGGCCTCCTCCAAGGAAGGAGATGGGTGAGACCCACAACCTTGACCTCCGTGTTCTAAGCTTTTCTAGGAGAGGCTCCAGATTCCGTTATCTATTTAAGTGCCCGTTTAGTCCACATGGTCCAGAGATATGGAGTAATATTCTCGGGGTAAATAGACGAGCCCCTGCTGACGGAGGAAGCTGGCCTGGGGACATCTATACGGACCGGCCCGGTCTTAGGAATAGGGGCCAGGAGCGGCTGCCTTCCAGCTGTGATTTGAGGTTGCCCCTCCTTCCCAGAGTCTTCCTCCTGCATCCTTCAGGGGTTTGTCACTGATGACTGAATCCTACCTTTAGAGCCAATGCTTAAAAGCTTTGTTGACCCCAGAAAATGCAAATACTTCTGGAGCAATACATTTAGATAATTAAGACTTTTCTGGTGAGTTTTCCAGAGCCTTACCCGAGAAGACTGCACCAGAAGTCTAGTGAAAAGAACCTGGGGACTGGGATGTTAGGCCCAGCAGCACGGAAAGAACAACAGGCTTGGATGAGAGGAGTCAATAAGCATTTATTAAGCACCTAGTATGTGTTAGGTACAGTGCTAAGTACAGTGGGGGTGGGGGGAGGGTGATACAAAGATAGGCAGAACAATAACAACAAAACCTTCCTTCAAGGAGCTTATTTTCTAATGAGAGAGACTACTCACAAACAGTATACATACTAGACACACAATGTGAATTGGAAGTAGTCTCAGAGGGAAGGCACTGACTTCAGGGGGAATCAGGGAAGGCTTCTTGTAGAAGGTGAGATTTGAGCTCTGAGACTTGAAAAGAGCCAGGAGGCAGAGATGAGAAGGGAGACCATTCTGGGCATCAGGCACAGGTAAGTGAAAAATGCTTGATTCCAGAGATGGAATGTCCTGTGAAAGAATTAGCAAAGAGCTAGGTATCTCTCAGTGGTAGAATGCATAGAAGACAGTAAGGTTTAAGAAAACTCCAAGGTAGGAAGGGGCCAGGCTGTAAAGAGCTACAGAAGCCAAACAGGATTTTATATTTGATCTTCGAAGTGATAAGGAACCACAGGAGTTTATTGAATAGTGAAGCTGCCACTAAATGACAAAATAATCCATAGTTGGGGCTTGATAAGACATGATGTATGATATGACAAGGGGACAAGGGACTGAAGTGTGGAGGATAGTGTAGAGCTGAACTAGTTCACCGAAGGGTTGAGATAGGGAGGGAAGGAGAGATTAACCAGTTCAGGAGGGGTGATGGCCTAGGAAGGAGCTAAGGAGTAGAGATAATGGAGGTCATAGTAAAGAAGATGAACAGAGTTAGGTGTTCCTAAGGAAAAGGAAAAGGAAAAGATAGAATGATAAAATATTATGAACAGATAAAAGGAATTTCACAATTCACAAACATGGCAGTGGGACACTTGTGGGTAATGACAAGATTAAGGGTGTGACCTTCCCTGCACATAGCAGAGGTGGAGTAGAGGAGCAGGTCATACATAATAAGTAAACTGAGGCACTTGGAGGCAATATCAGTATTTGAAGTCCCTTAATATGAATGAGACCAGGAACTTGGGAGGAGAGAAAGACCTGAACTCGTTGAGGAAGGAAAGACAGTATTCTGGAGGTTGGTAATAAGTGATTTCCTGAAAGTAATACAGCTAATCAGTGCCCCAGCCTTACATAGAAGGATGGAAGGTTTTCTTTCTAAGACCAATGTTGAGTTACCTTCAGTAAATCAACTCACCTGCTGGGCCTCAGTTTCCTCATCTGTAAAATGAAGGGATTGGACTGTGCTCCTAAGTTACAACTATAATTGTATAGTGTACTTTTTTTAATGTACAATTTCTTTATTAAAATACCAGTTTAAATAAATCTTTTTTTGACAACTCCAAAAGCTAATGACCAGACCCAGAAAATGGAACTAAAAGCTTTTTACATAATTATAAAAAAAAAGACCCTCACTAATGAGGCTTCAAAGAAAGTGCCATCATTCTTAGTTCAGTATAAGTAACAGTTCATTTTCCAACTCTGTCCTGTACTTAGAGATCAGAATTTGGCAAGAAAAAGTTGATAGGGGCAGCTCGGTGGCGCAGTGGATAGAGCACCAGCCCTGGATTCAGGAGGACCTGAGTTCAAATCTGGCCTCAGACACATAACACTTAGTAGCTGTGTGACCCTGGGCAAGTCACTTAACCCCATTGCCTAGCCAAAAAAAAAAAAAAAAGAAAAAGTTGATAGAGGTTCATGAGTGTGGGTAACAGAGCCCTGCTTCTTTCTGCCTTTCTTCATCTTGGCTTCACCTAGGTTAGGGGAAATTGCCTACTTGGTAGTTTTTGACTATGCCAGAGTAGACAAAATAACACATAACAGGAACTTGTCAATCAATAATGATAAAAAGGGCTTTGAGATCTGTGGAGTCATTATTAAAGAAATCACTTGAACATGTGGAATGCTAAGCATTGATTAAAAAGAGACAATCAGAGTTTATCAAGAACAAATTGTGCATGGCTAAACCTCATTTCCTATTTTGGTAGACTATATTATTAAATTAGTTGATAAGGGGAATGCTGTGGAGATATAGTTTACCTAGATTTTCACCAAAGCATTTGATACAGTATTTGATACTGTTTTTGTGAAGATGTTGGAGAGAGATGGACCAGATGCTAATACAGTTAGATGGATTCAGGACTGCTTAGATAGTCCATCTCAAAGAGTAGTTGTTAACAGTTTATTGTCAGTTTGGCAGAAGGTCTTGGATGAAGTTCCCCACAGATCTATGCTTGGTCCCATTTAACATTTTTCTTAACAACTCGGATAAAGACATAGATGGCATATTCATCAAATTTACAGATGACACAAAGGTAGGAGAGATAGAGCTAATAAAACAGTTGAGGATACAATCAGAATCCAAAAGGATTTTGACAGGTTAGAGAACTGGGCTGAATCTAATAAGATGAAATTTTAGGATAAATGTCAAGTCCTACATTTGAATATAAAAAAATCAAGTACAAGATAGACACTGTTTTTTCAGAAAAGGATGGGGGTCTTTATTGGGTTTCAAGTTTAATATGAGTCAGCTGTATGATATTTCAGATTTAAAAAGCTCATTTGATCTTGAGTTGCATAGCTTCCAGGAATAGGGAGGTAGTAGCCCAACTATATATTCTGCCGTCATCAGACCCTCATGGGAAATACTGGGTTTAGTTCTGGGGGCACTGCATTTTAAGAATATAGATAATAAACTGAAAAGCGTCTAGAGAAGGGCAATGAGGATAGTGAAGGACTTTGCATCAATGTCATATGAGGCCCAGTTGAAGGAACTGGGGATCTTTAGCGTAGAAAAGAGAACACTCATTCAGAACATCATGATAGCTGTCTTTCAATGTTTGAAGGGTTGCCATGTGGAGGAGGGTTTAGACTTGTTTGTTCTCTTTGGCCCCAGACAGAAGAACCAGGAAGCAACAGTGTGATTTGCAGAGGGGCCCGTTGAGGCTTGATTCGAGGAACAGCTTTCTCACCATTAGAGCTGTCTGTACAGAAGTAGGAGGGACTGCCCTGAGAGGGGATGGGAGTCCCCTTTGCTTTGGAGGTCTCCAGTCATTCTCAGTGATCACTTGTTGTATAGGTAATACTGAGGATTCCTTTTATGTATGGATTGGACCAGATGGTTGCTCAGGTCTCTTCTAAACTTTCAGATTCTGCCATGGATTTGATTAGAGGAAATTTAGTGAAGATGAGGTAAGTAAGACATCACTTGATTTTAAAGTTGGAAAAGCTTTTGATATTTTTCAGCCTGATGCACAAGACAGGTTTTAACCCTGAGCATCTACCTGGTCAGGACTGCTCTCATTCCTCTCTAAACTTAATATTTTATTGACTCACCATATTTGGTGACAAAAGAATTATTTAAGGGTTTGAATTTTTTAAACTTTTCCTAATAAACTGAGTTACAGTGTGAGAAGGGAAACTGATTGCTCCAGATTGGGTTACCAGCTGCAGAGGCTAATACATTAGGAAAGTTAATGTCAACAAGGAAGCAAATGGAGAAAATTATTAATGTTATTAGAAATTAATAATGCCACCATTTAATAAGTATTAGAATATTCTTCTGGGGTAGAGAGATCTAGTGAACAGGGAGAGTAAAAACGTCCAGAAAAGTAAGTAAGATCATAGATTTTTGAACTAGAAGGACCTTAGAGGCTATCTAAACCAATTCCTTCATTATATAGATGGGAAAATGGAGGCCCAAAGAGTTTAAATGACTTGCCCTTGGTCACAGAGCAAGTAAGTATAAGAGACATAATTTGAACCCAGGTCTTCCTAATATGAAATGAAGCATACTAGCCACCACTCCACTGAAGATAATTAAAAGCAAGTTTTTCCATTTATTGTTTGCCTGTGAATAATGACTATTTACAAAATTACTGAAGAAATAAAACTATTAATGAGTACTAAATGCTTATTATTGTAAATGAGAAATAACCAAGTGTTTGCTAAGCTCCTATTATGTTCTAGGCATTGTGCTAGGGCCCGAGGATGCATGACAAACATGAATGAATGAATGAGAAGTGAAATATGAATGAAATGAAACAATGTGGCCATAAGAAACATATTCTATCTAAGTGCTTGCATTCTCTATACGTGAGATAAGATTCATCAGTCATTTCTGTAGATTAGTTACACTTAACATTGTCTTATCATCAACTTTTTCTAGACTTTGAATCATTTTGGTCTAAAATAATGAAGTGTTCAGCCCATAATTCATTCTTACTTTCCTCATTCTGATTCTTTTGATTTGACTGCTATATTTCTTCCTTTTTCCATTTCTAACTTAGAATGTTAAAGGTGTTGCTTTTCAGGTATGTATCAATATATGTGTATAGTGTGTATAAATATATATATATATGTATGTTACACATATTAAAAGCTCTTCTCAAGATTTGACTATTAATGTGTAAGGGTGTGTCCCATTTGAACTAATGGATAGAAGGGGCACAAGTAGAACTATTGTACTGTAAAGAAAGCCATTTCATCAGTAAAGGAAGCATTCTGTTGTTATTCAGTTGTTTTTCAGTTGTGGCAGACTCTTCATGACCTCTTTTGGGGTTTTCTTGGCAAAGATACTGGAGTGGTTTGCCATTTCCTTCTCAAGTTCGTTTTGCAGAAACTGAGGCAAATGGGGTTAAGTAACTTGCTCGGGGTCACGTAGCTTGTGTCTGAAGCTGGATTTGAACTCAGGTCTTCCTGACTTCAGGTTCTTTGCTCTATTCTCTTTGTTTCTTGAATAGTTCAATCGCATTTGAATATGCCAGCGAAGACAAGGACACTTGTCCCTGGACAAAGGCTGCTTCTTTGCCTTTGTCCGTTATTATTCAGCTGTGTAAGACCCCAGCAGTTACATGGCTGATCATCGTAAGTGAAGGAGAGATCCTTCACTGAAGGAATCTGCTCTAGCCCAGAAAGAATGGTCAAACAGGAGAGACTATATCTCTCCTACTTCCTACAAAGAAGTGACAAATAGGAGACCCCAGTTCCAGAGGGATTTAGAGAGGTTTCTACTAATTCCTGGCTAAGGGTCACTGCCATTACTCAGACAATTATAGAACTCTATACAGAAACACCTAACTGAACTAGAGGCTAGACGTGGTAGCCCCCAGCATATCTGCCCAGCCCTGTTCCAGCAGCTGAGTTACCTGTCTGCCCCTGTAGCCTTGGAGAAGCTACACCCAAGTGACTGAGCAACCACTCATTTCAGCTCAGCAGGGCATCATCACAGCCCTGCACCCTGCACCCTGTGAGAAATGAGCTTAGCTTGGTAGGGGACAACAAATGATCACTGACTCCATGCCTTGTAGTGTGATATTTGGGAAGACTCTCCAGAGAAGGAAAAAACATCAAAGCTCTCAAATTCCAGAGTTATGAGTTTCCTTGCTCATGTGTGTTTCCTACATGTATCCTTTACACCAGGTTTGGGGGAGAAATGCTTTGTAACTACTGTTCTTGCTATGCCACTTGAGTAAATGTTTTTTCTTAAGAACTAACAGATCACTAGCTGATTGTAAATTGGAAACATACCAGTGGGGGCTACAGTGTTGGGCATAATCACCCACGGCACATACCCTAGAATATAAATAAAAGTTACCTTTCAGGAAATCTAACCTGCCATTGCCAATGTCAGATGGGAGAATGAGCTCAGAGGGAATACTATTACTATTATTATTATCATTATCACCATCATCATCATTATTTGACCCTTCTTTATGCTCTCTTGTTTATAACTACCTAAAAAAATAGGGAAAGAAGAAAGAATAATAACTAGCATTGATATGATGACTTTAAGGTTTGCAGAACACTCAAACATTTTATATTTTATTTCTCAACCTAATTTTAGCATGTTTCTTCTTTTCACTGACGTGCTGGGTACAATTTGGTCATTATGCAAAGTCACATATAGAACTTAATAGGTGAATTTTAGAAAGTACTAAAAGATAATGAAGAATTTTATGTGGGTATGATGATAGCATCAGTATTTCTGATTCTAGAAAAGATCAAAGAGTCCTGGTTGGCTTTGTCTTCCTTGGTTTTTAAGTTAACCTTGAAAATTTAACTGTCTAGAAAGATATATGTAAAGACAATATTTTCTCACATTTATACAGCATTATATAGCTCACATTTGTACATAGTAATTTTAATATTTACAAAGCATTTTCCTTACAGATTTTTTATGAGGCATACAGGATAATTATCATTATTCCCATTTTACATATAAGAATACTAAGGCCTTAGAAATATGAACTGACTGACCCAATGGTCTTATTGAAAGTAAGCATTGGAGCTGATGGATTCAAAATACCAGTTCAAACCATTTGATCAGACTTTAAGTGACTGGATATAAATTCTTCAGCCTGCAAGATTTTGTTATCATTCTTTGCTATACATAAGGTTCTGTATAAGGTCTTAAAATTATAATGAGAAGTCATTACCAGCCCAAGTCTCTTCATTTTATTTTTTAAGTAATTTTTTTTTAAAAAATAAGAGCATTTTAACAATATAGTCAACTAGTAACTATTTTCATCATAATAGCTAACATTTAAATACTAATTTAACATTTATGAAATACTGTACTTACATTATTTCATTTGCCCCCAGAAGTGCTGTGAGATAAGCATTTTGGGTCTTCTTATCTCCATTTTTATAGAAGCTTAAAGCAGTGACTTGCCGCAAGGGTCACACAGGTAGAGAGATACTTAGGCTTAGGCCTTTCCCAACACCAGACACAACATTCTTTCCATTATCACCACTGCCTATGCTACTTTAAGGGGCTAGCTGAAACCCATGGGGAATTTGCATAGTATTTTATGTGATTACCAAATTATTAATGAGTATTGAATACTAATTGGAATGAATGGATTTTTTTTCCAGAAAAGATAATTGTAAAATATCAGATGTTCATTTGCCAGATATAGTAGAGAGAAAAGAAAAAAACAAATGTGAAAAAGAAGCTGAAAAATCAGAGCAGCATTCAGAAAATACATGTCCCAGGAGACCACGTGTAATGTTTGCCAAATTCATAAGAACTAATGCAAGATTCTATAATGAGCCAGTTTGCTACATAGAACACCCAAATATGGGAAACAAGCAGGTAGGTCTGATGTTAATTATCATTGCCTTAAAAAGAGGGATAATATAATATAATAATAATTATATACACATTATGTATAGATACAGACCTAGGTTCAGAAATAATTCAAGGTAATTCCATGTTGGACTTGAAGGGAATAATTTGTGTTCACATCATACCTAGTAGAATTGCTGTGTTCAATTCAACAAACATTTATTAATTTAGACCATCAGGGACCACTCTGCTTAGTTTCCTGACCTTTTCATTGATGATGCCAGGCACACACACCCCCTGGTGGTGGAGAACCTTGGGGTACCCTGGAACTCCACTCAACACTGAAGGCACCTGGCAAGACCACCAGGTCCTCCATGCTTCTTATAGAGCTACTACTACCTCTGTATCTCAACTCTCCTTTTTTTGTGAGTAAAGCTTCTCAATTCATTAGCCAAGGTGGTGGGGGGGGTGGTCATTGTGAATTTATAGGAAGGAAATAAGTATTTTTAAGTGCCTACAGTGTGCTGAACGTTTTATAAATATTATCTCATTTGATCCTTACAACTACCCTGAAGAAACTAAGGCAGACAGAGGTTAAGTGGCTTGCCTGGGATTACACTGCTAGGGAGTGTCAGGTCATCCTAATGCCCAGCCTAGCACACTATCCCTTGTGCTTCCAGCTATTTATACAATTGGACTCTTGGTTCAAGGCACTACCAAACCAGTAAAACTATGTCCTTCCCAGAACTGGTTTACTATATTTCATTGAACTATAATGGAGTCAACCACACAAGGATGGCTTTGCCAATGACCAAAGAACTAAAAGAGGTACAATCAAAGTATATTCAAACTACCACACTGCAGGCTTTGTACATCACACCTTCTTCCAGATCTAGTTCAATGCCCAAACCCAGTAGTTCTGACACATTCTAGCTAGTGAGACTCAGTGGCTTCCACTGGAAGCTCCATAGGACACCAGTGTTGGATTTAGCAACATTCCCCAAGCTTTGCTTATTTGCTACCTCCAGGAAGGCCTCAGGCCAGTTAGTTTGAAGGTTCAGACCAGGAGGAGCCCCCAAAATCATTTCCATTTACAGTTCTGTTGCTGGCAATCACTCTGTTCCTACTGTCCTACTGCTTCCTCACATCGTTGTTCATTGAGTGAGTTTCAGTGTCTTTGCTATGCTCCCCTCCTTCAGGTAACTTGAAAATCCAGTATATTTACCAAGAAATCCTCCACTTGGCTCACACCCCAAAAATATTTTTTAAAAGAAAGGACATGTAAATATAAAAGTATTTACAGCAGCATTTTTTGTTGTATCAAAGAACTGAAAATAGAGTATATGCCTATCAGTTGGGAAATGAGTGAATAAATTATAGCATATGAATGTAATAGAATATTATTGTACCATAAAAAATGACGAAAGGTACTGATTCAGAGAAACCTGGTAAAATGTATGAATAAAGCATACAGAACTAGGAAGACAATTTATACCGTGAATTACAACAGCTTAAAGAAAACAACTATGAAAGACTTAAAAATTATGCTCAATAGAATAAGCAATCTTGACCACAGAGGACTGAATCATGTTTCCCACCTTTTGGCAAAGAGGAGATGAACTAGAGTGTGTAATGAGACGTGCCTTCTCAGATATGTCCAATGTGTGGATTTATTTTTCATTACTATTCTTGTTTGTTACAAGGGACGAAGGATTTTGGAGAGGGTAATGGATAATGATAGTGATACTTGAAAAAAAAAGAACACAGAAAAGAATATCACTTTGAAATGCATCATTTTTAAAAACAAAAGGAAAAAAAAGTTTAGAAGGGGATGCAGACAAGCAGGGCAGTCTTGGAACTACCATGTTAAATTTGAAATATGCTAAAAAAAGAGAGAGAGAGAGAGAGAGAGAGAGAAAGAAAGAAAAGAAAACACCCAAGCTGTATGAAGTAGAGATTCACAGTTTCCTATTGCTGTTCTCTTTTTCTGTTCTTTGTATATGGAAATGTTTGTTGATGTTTCCCAGGTTAATAATAAAAAGGAAAAAGAAGTTTAAAATAATAAAAAGATTGGAGTTCAGGGGAGAGATTCAGGTTCTTGGGAGCAGTTTGATGTAACATACCTAGTGCTGGTCTTATAATTAGGAAGATCTAAGTTAAAGTCCTGTTTCTCACTTGTTATGTGACTCTAAGCAAGTCATTTAATCTTTCTGAGCTTTAGTAAATTTCCTCACCAATAAAATGGTGCCAATATTCTCTATAATAATCACTGCACAGGGATGTTGTAAGGCTCAAATAAAATATATGTAAAGTGCTTTCCAGATTTTAAAGTGATATATAAATGTCATTATTTATTTTTAAAACATTATGTGGATACAAATTTAGCTATTGAAGCTATCCATCTACTATCTGTGATCCTCCTTTCTCACTACATGACCAGCCAATCTCTTTTTCCATGGTTTTTTGATAGGCAATTTAAACTACTTTGGAGGTCTTTTAAGATTGATGTTAAAATCTATTATAACAGTTTTGATCAGAGAAATGAATAAGGCAAATGCCATAAAGAAGAGACCAAAAGAGTGTTAAAAATCACATTAGTCAGCAAACACTTGATCTCCTTGTTAAGTGGATGTATATGGCAGTGAAGCACAACAGCAGTCTACAGTGTAAACTCACTTGTAAAATCATACAGAGATAGATGATAGGAAGGAATGGAAAGGAGAAAGGAAGGGAAGGAAGAAAGGAAAGATTTATTAAGCACCCACTGTAGGACAGGAGTATGCAAAGTCCTTTACAAATAAGGTTTTAAACTTATTACTAAATAAAATTAAAGTAGTGAAATTTAAAAAAAAGTGAAAAAACTCAACTAAAACAAAGTCTTCCCAAAAACATTTAAGGATGAAAATGAAAGGATAACAAGTAGATGAAAAAATGGAAAAGATCTGTAATATTTTTATAACCAACTCTTTTTACCATCAGGAAAAATGGAGCTTCCACATTTGGGCTCTAAAATCATAGTTCCTAATATATTTCTTGAGTTAGTAGAAATGGCACTGAAGAAAATAAATAGGAAAAAAAGCAGTTGGACCAGACAAAGCATATATGGAGGAAGTTCTTGCTCGAATTGACACAATCTGGAAGGTGTCAAGAGATGGATTTTCAAGGTGTCTGAAGGAGGGGAGTATAACAAAGACACTGAAAAAAAATTTTTGATCTAATTGTTCCCCCCCCCAAAAAAAGGTTACCAAGTATCAGTATCCATTGATCCTTTTTTCCCATCCATAAAAAATGAAAATAATTACCATATATCAAATATATCCTTAATGACAATAAAAGGTAAGCTTTTAAAAATAATATTCCACAGTAGAACACACTTTTACCATCTCACAGTTGATTGAAAAATATGGACTGTACAAGATCTTGCTGTGTTTACTATTTGCTGACTAAAAAAGTCTTTGATTTGATGTAGAAAAATACAGCTTTAAAGGCTTTTCTCTAACAAGTTATCTCCCAAGAATATGTCAAAATTACATAAGATTGCTTGAAAAATATAGTAATAGTGATATCTATTATTTGATGACCCTCATTAATTTCAAGCAAGACATAAAACAGGTAGACATACTCACTAGAGATGTTCACATGTGAAAAATGGAGAAGGTTCAGCATAGAGTCCAAATTGAAGAAAGGTTCTGTGAGGATTGTGAGTTTCTTCAGCTGCTCATATTTGTAGTTACTATTGTACTGATTCCGTCAAGCCCTGGAACTTAGTACAATCTCCTCAATGGAATCCAGGATCATATAAAAGTCTTGCCTAACTATCCACAGATTTAAAATGAAAAAGTCAATGACAAATGCTTATTGTCTAGACACTAACATGTGGTTGGATGAACAATCTGTAGAACTCATCCACAAGTATGTGTGTAGTTTTTTATCTTTGATGCAGAATTTAACAGGATAAAAAAGTAGGTTGAGTTGTCTTTAATGGACCTAAACCTCTTTAAAAAAAAAAAAAGCACATCTTATTTTTTAACTCCAGTAGTCTTCCAGTGATGGAATCCTTAGAGTCATGTAAAGCTGTAGTCTCTGAAGAATTAAACTCGAGGATCACTGAAAGGACAATGGAGAGGGGTGTGTGTGTGTGTGGGTTCTACTATAAATTACAAATAAAGAATTTCACTGGAGAAATGGTATGAAACATGGCATCAAAATAACATGACCAGAAGAAAAGATAACCAAAGCGAGAAATAATATCCAGGCAGTATGAAATAGGATTCAAGGAAGCCCCCAGTTGAGTGGACCTCTTCTAGAGAACTTATGGGAGGATATGGATAAAAATATCACAGGAAATGCAGGTATGAATGAGTTAGAATATGAATCACTGAAATGAATAACCATATCACTTACTCTCTCTGAACCTCAGTTTCTTCATCTACAAAATAGAAATAATACTAGCTCTAATATCTATGTCACAGAGCCATTAGGAGGCTTAAATGTTATCATGTATGTAGATAGACTATGTTGTAACTTTAAAGTTCTATGTAAGGCTCAGTAATCTCATAGCTGTCATCCACAATGATGTTTAAAATAGAAAAAACATAATTTAAATAGTCACAGACTCTCAGAGTTGGCGGGGACTTCAGAGGGCCTAATCCAGTTTATACCTAAGTAATAAAACCTACCATATCATATCCCAGGAAACTTTGTAAAGGAAAACTCATTGCTGCTGGAGGCAGCCCATTTCACCTTTGGAAGTTTTTTCTTATATTAGGCCTAAATTTGCCCTGTTAATGATTTCCACCCAATGTTTCTGGTTCTGCCCTGAGGAAATAAGCAAAAACCAATCTAATTGCTCTTCTCATGTTGATACAAAACAGTTCCTCAAAATACTTAAACTATCAGGCTTATCCACCCGTAAGTCTTCTTTTATCCAGGCTGAACCACCCCATCATTTTAACTGAGCTTCCTATGGCATGATCTCTTGGCTAGAATGTTTTCCTTTCTCTAGACAACTGCAGCTTACCTTCCTA